ATGAACTTATGTTCACCATCACCAGCAAAATTAGCAAAAATGCTAATTATAGTAATGAGATCCCACCCTTTCACCGCCCAGATCTTTTAAGAGATAAATTTGTTTGGTTTTGAAGGGCACAGACATGGAAGCCATTTCTCCGTAGATCTACTGCCTCTGTGTCAAAAGCCTTTCATTCAGTCACTCCACAAACACAGGAAGTCTAACAGATGCTGAACCAGGATGAGGCAAAGCCCTTCCCTTATGGCAGAAAGACCTTAGGGGGAGGAGATTTCAATTACCTGTGCAACCAACAATGTGTTTATAACCATTCCTGGTGTCTTTAGGAAAAAGTGAAACAGAGTGTTCTGTGATAATTTGATATCCGGGTCTGATGGGGGAGGGTGGAAGGAGGAAAAAAAGGTAACATTTAACTTTCGAGGAAGAAGAATTAGCTATGGAAAGCCAAGGAAGAGGAGCTGGGAAAGGAGCTACAAAGGACTGGAGAGAGATGCAAAGGCCTGGAGGTAGAAGAAGCCAATCCCTGAGACAGACTGAGAAGACACCTGAGCTCAGGAGAGAGATGAAGCTGGGCCTCCAGGACCACACCACACATCTGTCTCTAGCCCCAGAGTGAGGAGTCAGCAAAGGGTTTGAAGTCTATATAACATTAGGCTTGTTATTTATGTAGTTATATTATTATTATTATTATTATTATTATTATTATTATTATTATTATTATTATTATTATTATTATTAAGAGTCTCACTATGTAGCCCTGTCCTGGAACTCGCTCTGTAGACCAGGCTGGCTTTGAACTCAGAGATCCGCCTGCCCCCGCCTCCTGAGCACTGGGATTAAAGGTATGCGCTACCATGCTCAACAATTCTTTTTTCTCTTTCCCATAAACTGTCTCCGGCTAGTGTGAGGAACGGCCTGAGAAGTGAGGACAGGGATGCGTGGAATAACTGCCCAGGAACAAGGCAACTGGAATTCTGGAGTGACACTGAAGGGCGATGCCCTCTAGAGGGCGCCATGGAGACAGAGCAGCAGGTGGCTGCCGGATAGTTAACATGCATGTCACAAGACCCCAGAGTGACTCAGCTCCTGGTACTTGAGCTCCTCAGACAGTGAGGGCTGCTGCTGCTGATAATCCACACACTCTTGCACCCAGTGACCTCTCCTAGGAATCCATCCTGGGGGAAAATCAGACACCTTGGCACGTTTATACATTTAAAACTTGCAAGCAATTTAAAGCAGCTCATTTCCCCCTGTTCACTACTGACTGCATCTAGGGCCTAACACATGATAGGAAAGTATCTAGCTACATCTCCAACCCTTTTGGGGGAGGGAGGTAAAAGGCACACAAGAGTTGCTTCCTGTGTCTGGTTTCTTTCATATAGCCTGTAATCAATCTAAACAGAACAAATAAGAAAAACCTTAAATAATGATATTGCCATAAATGGGATATTAGGGGGCCATTTAATAGTCTCATTTAATGTCATGAGTTGTTCTTCTGAATATACGGAGAGGAAAAAGCCTGTGAAAAATCAATACAATCTTAATTTTTAAATACAATCTGTTGAAATACGAACAGGTCAAGATGGAGAGGCGGCTCGGTGGTTAGAGCACTGGCTGCTCTTCCAGAGGACCTGGGTTCGATTCCCAGCACCCACATGGCAGCTCACAACTGTCGTAACTCTAGTTCCTGGGGAGCTGATGTTCTCCTCTGGCCTCCAGGGGCATCAGGCACATATGTGATACACAGACACACATGAAAGCAAAACACCCAGATACATAAGATAAAAAAAAGTTTATTTTAAAAAATATAGGTGCACACCTGTAGGATTTGCTGAAGGAGGCGAAGGCATGAGGAGGATCATGAGTTCAAGGCCAGCCTGTGCCACACATTTGCTGGGTATGGGTGGTACACACCTCTAATCCCAGCACTCCAGAGGCAGACACAGATGGATCTCTGTGAGCTCAAGGCCAGCTTGGTCTACAAAATGAGCTCCAAGATAGCCTGAGCTACATAGGCAGACCCTGTCTCAAAAAAATAAACAAACAAAAAACAAAAACAAACAACAAAATAAGGTATCTTTACATTTCTGTGGCCTTTCTACTTTTTCCAATTACATTTTACACAGAAGAAGCCATACTTTCATTTTAAATTATTTCCATTTTAAGTGATATTTGTTGAATATTAACTCTATAAGCATATTCTAAATGTGTTGTGCATATGAATTTATCTTTTTTTTTTTGAGACAGGGTCTCACAATGTAGATCTGGCTAGCTTTGAACTTACTGTGTAGACCAGATAATAAAGGTAAGTGAAATACTGACACACACCAGTTGAGTACCCCTTGTCTGAAACGCCTGAGATCAGAAGTGGTTGTTTTTTATTTCTTATTTTTCTGGATTTTGGAATATTTGCATATACAGAATGAGCTATTTTGTGGATTGAACCCAAGGCTACTATGAAATTCATTTGTACTTCATGTCTTCCTTAGATATATAGGCTAAAGGTGGTATTATTATATAACTTTAGGCTAACAGTTATACATTTTGCCTTGTGAGATCAGGTATGGAATGTTCCTGTGGCATTGTGCTGGTGCTAAAAATTCAGACTCTGAAGCATTTCAGATTAGAGATGATCAATTTATATTCCTATAGGGATGAGCCCTGAAAACAGGTTATGAAAGAAAGCCAACACAGAGGCCACCTCTTTTGTGCCTGTTATGACACCCTGAATGGGTAGACTTAGACAGACGGAAGTAGGCAGTGTTGCTGGGGCTGACTGCTTAAAAAGCACTGGCCTTCATGCCGGGATAATGAAAACAGTCTGAGTTAGACAGTGGGCTGTAAGCCTGTGAAAATGTTAACCACCATTTGATTAGCTACTTTAGAAAGGCTAAAAGCTACACTTTATGCTGTGAGAATTTTATTTCCGTGGTTAAAAAAGAAAAGCCTAAGCTACCTTTTCTAAAAACTCAGTGGTTTCTCACAACTGCAGAAAGGTTTTTAAAGAACTCCCCTTAGATTTAAGGATTAACTTGAATGTAAAATTACCATGGTTCGTGTGCAGTAACAGTCCTGGCATCCTAGGCAGGAGGTGAGCAGAGTAAAGCAGAGAATTCAGGTAAATCGTGCTCAGCGAATGAACGCTAGCGACCAGCAGTAGTGTGGTGGCCGGAGTCTAAGCAGGATGGGAAAATACCACACTTTGCATTTCAACAGACACTTCAGTGAATGGCAGATTTGTTTCACAACATCAAAAGGAAAACATGTAATCTGATTTTAAGTTATTGCACTGGTCTAGCATTTCATTTAAAAATAACTAAACAACCAAGTCTGTGGTTAGAATGAGATGCCAAACTACAGTAATTCTCTTGTGTCGGTCTCAGAGTCCAAACTGGCTCTAGACACCAGAAGCAAATTGCAGGACATATTCTGTAAGGTCAAGGCGGGAGAAAGGAGCCAGGAGCTGCTGGAAGGGAAACCAGGGAATGTTTTGGCTCCTCTTAGGCTATGAATAGGTCTTTAAGAACTACTTCTCTGCAATGCACACTGAAGTGCCAGGTAAAGACCAGACCACAGCTATGGACACCTTAAGATTAGAAACATATCATTTCTGTCCCTTAAAATAACGACACTTGAGAGATAATGATAATCACTTTATCTGACAACAGGGCAAAAATGTCAAAATTTTCAAAGTGTTCTGGAAAAAAAGGCAACACGCACAATGGTCTGTTAATACTAAGGAAAGCAAAACAAGAAAAAGAAAATAAAAACAGCGCAGTGCAGCATGTGCCGACAGACAGCCCAGGCTATACAGGACGACCCCGGTGTGGACAGACAGCCCAGGCTATACAGGACGACCCCGGTGTGGACAGACAGCCCAGGCTATACAGGACGACCCCGGTGTGGACAGACAGCCCAGGCTATACAGGACGACCCCGGTGTGGACAGACAGACAGCCCCGGCTATACAGGACGACCCCGGTGTGGACAGACAGACAGCCCCGGCTATACAGGACGACCCCGGTGTGGACAGACAGACAGCCCCGGCTATACAGGACGACCCCGGGAGGAGCTGAAGACCAGCCAGTCAACATAGGCTGGCCTCAAACTCACAGAGATCCGCCTGCCTCTACCTCCCAGGTCCGGGGATTAAAGGCGTGCGCCACCACCGCCCGGCGTGTTTTATCATTTTAAAGGTGGAAGCAGAGGCATAGTTCAGTATTGCCTCGCTTGCATATAGACAGAGAGAACAAACAGCTTTACATACATTTTATGCTTATACAGGACAATAAAGGTCAAGAAGACTAAAAAGCAAAAGATAAAATTATAACCATGACTAAGTGCTATAAATAGCCTGAAGCCATACATGTAGGAATGTGTTCCAGATGAATCACAAGAGGACGGGACTATGATACTGTATTCTTGGCTACTACTGTATTATTACACTGTATACATTACAATGTATATAATACACATTCTGTATTATTATAGTGTTGCTATTTTTCAGTGGAATGGGGCACAAGGAGTCCATTAACATATTTATTGTCTACCATGCTCAATCAGCCACAATCATGTCTAGCAACATGAGAAATACATGAATAAACAGATTTTGCATTTCGTGTGGGTGTTTAAACCCAACTGTTTGAACAGGAGGAAAAACCTGTATGAGGTCAAACTATTTCCCCACATTTTCTTTTTTTCTTTTTTTTTCCAGCTGGAAAAGCAGGTTTATTGTTGCTGCTGGAGAGCCATGGTCACCCCAGGTCAGGGGGAGTGAGTAGACAGTGCTACTTGGCTGCGCCCACGAGGAACTGCTCAGAGCAGGAAAGGGATAATGGGCATGCGCAGGATCCCCACATTTTCTTATAACAGTTTCCTGCCCGTACAGTGAGTGATCGCAGAGGAGTTGAGGTTAGACAGAAAGGACTGCCTAGGATGGGGTGAGCACAGCTGAGAGTGGGGGGTGCTATGGAGGGGGCTGCCATGGTGACCGCTCACTACCTGTATCCGTGCTTCTCAGGCCCATTCTGAATCGTATCTGCTTGGCCTGCAGGACCTCGGAAAGGTGTTTCGCAGTCCAGTGCTGTGCTGGCCAATCAAACACCATGTTACAGAAGATGGCAGGCTGATGGAGAGACATTATAATTTCTTTCGCTTTCTCTGGCGTGAAAGGTTTGACACGCTTGCCTAGGGAGAGAGAAGAGTAGGGCATTAGGTAACAATGGGCAGATAACTATGGAGTTATTTCCCACGGCATGAGGAGAGATGGCTAATGCTGCTTCTGCTCTGGCAAGTCTTTCCATGCAATTGCACCACACTTAGGTAATATTTGGCCTCAAAAGTCTGAATTCTTGTTTTGGTTTTTTTGAGACAGGGCCTTACACTGCAGTCCATGTTGGCCTGGAATTCACAATGTTGCTCGGGCTGGCCAAGAACTCATGAAGATCCCCTGCCTCGGCCTTCCAAACACTTGGGTTGCAGATGTGAGGCACAGCACCTGGCTAACACAATTCTTTTTTGAAGTAATTTTTTTTTCATATTAAATTTTCAATGTTGGTAAACCTAATTTTCAATTCTAATAGTAAAGATTTATTTTTTAAAAGGTTTTCTAACTAATTTAAAAACAATGACATTTTTGGAATATAATACTTCTTAAATAGAAGGGTAGGTAAAAAATGCTGATGAGAATTACTCTGGAACAGCCAGAGTTTCTGGAATCATGACTGGACTTGCTCTATGACATGTTTAATGCCAAAGCGAACAAAAAGACTATGCTCTAGTAGTCAATCAGGAAGGAAGAGATTGCTTTTGTCTCTACAACAAAAGATACAGCTTGGATGGTGGCACATTACTATCATCCCAGGATTTGGGAGCTGAGGCAAGGGGACCAGGAGTATGAGGCCAGCCTGGGCTATATAGAGGGTTTGAACCAGCCTGGACTATGTGAGACTGTCTCAAAATTCCAGAATTTTAATTTCGGAAAGATAGCCTACTATTCTCTCATTTATTCTATTTATCCTCCCTCTCCATCCATCCATCCACCCAGCCATCTCCGCTTTCCCTCCCTCCTCTCATCTCTCTGTCCCTCCTCTTCCCTCCCAGGGCCTTTTACAGGTAGACAACCACTCCACCAAGGAGCTCCTGCTCCACTAGGGGAGTACCTTTAAAGACACCCTAATATGCACAGCCAGGACGGCTTCACACTCAGGCTGACTCTCAGACATGTATTGATGATTCTCGGAATCTCTCAGGAAGAGGCCCAATTCCTTCGACACTCAACCTTCTAAGCTAACAAAGAAAGAGGAGGCAGGAAGGGCCCGCAGAAGAACTTGGGTAATCTGTGTCTGTCCCGATGTAGAGCTTTTTTGTTTTTGTTGTTTTTTGAAACAGGGTCTCTCTACATAGCCCTGGCTATCCTGGAGCTCTCACTATGTAGACCAGGCTGGCCTTGAGGCCAGAGGGATCCTTCTGTGAGGTTCATTTTTTTCAACTTTTAATTTTTTAATTACTAAGAAGTTTTCTATTCACTTACATACCAACCACAGATGCCCTCTCTTCCCACCCACAAGGCTCATTTTTTTTTAAGACAATGAAAACTTAGTTTTCCTCCTTCTTAGGAAGGCCCACACTGTAGAATCTGCCCCTAAGCCCTTGGTGACAGAGATGAATAGGCTCCCAGCCCCAGCAAGCTAACACCTAAGAACCTTGACCTCTGCAAGGGATGAGATCACTGTGGGTGTTTGGAGGAAAGGAGGAAGAGCTGGGGCCATGAGTAGACCAAAGTTCCTGTCTCTACCTTCAGCTGCTTGTTTTTGTTTCTTCACATACACAGATCAGAGGGTCCCACTCTCCCCGAACGGGAGTTGGATGGGTGTGGAAATACGACTGAGAAAATTAATTTCCAGTTAGGTCCTTATCATAAGCAACATTCCATGTTTTAAATGAGCAAAGCTACAGGTAACAGTCGATTTGCCCTTTACTGATATCTGACAGACCCTTCATTTGTATTCTGTTGCCTTAAAGCGGGGGTGAGGGGAATGGGGGGGGGTGGGGGTGGGGCTACCAGTAGACTGTCATCATAACAGGCGGGCCACTCAAATATACCTCAGTCACTTCAAGAACACTCCATTCCAGTTGCAAGGAACACTACAGCCACCAATGCCACTAAAGCCACAACTACTTCAGCTACAAACCTGCCCTGGGTCTAGGTGACTTCACTTCAGCCTCACAAGCCTTGGTGAACTCTAGATGGCCACACCTATCCTGCAGCAAGTCTCACTCAGGACAGGAGGGGAGAGCTTTCCCAGTGACTTAGCAATAAATGTGTATGTGACATCCATGGGTGCTGTGGGATGTTCTGTATGGCAAATGTGTTCCTCTGATTGGCCAATAAATAAAACACTGATTGGCCAGTGGCTAGGCAGGAAGTATAGGCGGGACTAACAGAGAGGAGAAAAGAAAGAACAGGAAGGCAGAAGGAGTCACTGCCAGCTGCCGCCAGGACAAGCAGCATGTGAAGATGCCGGTAAGCCACGAGCCGCATGGCAGGGTAAAGATTTGTGGAAATGGATTAATTTAAGATATAAGAACAGTTAGCAAGAAGCCTGCCACAGCCATACAGTTTGTAAGCAATATACAAGTCTCTGTGTTTACTTGGTTGGGTCTGAGCGGCTGTGGGACTGGCAGGTGAGAGAGATTTGCCCTGACCGTGGGCCAGGCAGGAAAACTCTAGCTACACATGGGTGATGTGGTCCACACAAAAACACAGCTCTCCACTCAAAGGGAGTAAGAGGATTTATTCAGAGTCAAATAGGACCATGGCCCAGGAAAAGATTCAGGCTGCCCCAAACGTCATATTCCACTGTAGAAATAGTTATATGACATTTTATTAATTATAGAACAAAGTCATACATCAAGGCATCACCCAAATACAACAGTGGGAATCACAGGTAGGCAGGGTACAGCAAAGCAAGGCAAATCCGCTATATGTTTTATATACTAGCTAACAATATTCTTAGCTTTGGGGTTGGTGTAAGTTAGTGGTTTGTTAAGAATACATTGTAAAGGTTTTGACAAGCACAAGAATATTAGTTCAGACATGGAATGCATGTTTTTCAAGGGGACTAAAAATGGCCCCAGATATTTTGGTTCTGGTCTGCAACATTTTAATTCTCCGTAACTTCAGTCACTTTATATAGAATCTATTTTCTTTTGGTGTGTATATGTGTATGTGTGTAGTGTACATGCATGCATGTATGTGTGGTGCACAGGTGCAAATGTGCATGAGCACGTGGAGGCTTGAGGTTAATGTTGGGTGTCTTTATCGGTACCTCTCTACTTCATTTGTAGAGACAGGGCCTCTCTATGGTACCCACAGCTCACCCATCTGCTAATCAGGCCAGCAGCTTGCCCTGGGGACTTCTTGCCTCTACCCTGAGTGCTGGGATTACAGGTAGCTGTCATTCCTGCCCTGTTTTTATGCAGGCTCTGAAGATCTTCATTCCAGTTTTCATGCCTGCACAGGAAGCCCTTTATCCACCGAGCCATCTCCCCAGCCCCATCTTGTACAATCTTTAACAGGTGTGGGTCTTTTTTCTTTCTAAAAACTCAATCCATAGTGCATATGTATGACTTGTGATTGGTGGACCTAGAAGCTGTGCAGAAGTCAGTCGCTCCCCAATTGTGGCTATAGAAACAGGCTGCTTTCAGTCTTGTTAGGTTAAGTCTGAGAAGTGTCCCTCCAGTATACCGACTGCTCCTTTTGAGATGCAACACTAGGTCTCAATAACAGCCTCTTCTAAATGGTCTTTTGGTGCCCAGTGACATGAGCAGATAACACTATGAACAGATGGAGCACTGAGTTTAGCTCTAGGAATGCGCTAGTATGGTAACTAGAGAGTGTCAGGTTGTAAGTCCTCCAGCCTCCCAATGCCATAAGCCCTCAGCTCATCCACAGCTTAAAGGAGGCTGAAGTGTTCTCATGAGCTGCCCTGAGTTATGGGCTGAGAGAGCAGATGTCCAAAGCCTAGAGCTGTTAAGACTGTCCAATGTTGAGCCACTGGACACTTAGAACCTACCTCGGGCTACAAGGCTAGAGCTATAAGCCCCCAGCTCTCAAGGTCTAGAGCCATGAATCTCTGGCTTTGGAAGTGCAGACCAGGAAGGTCTGAGCGAGGACTTCAGAGCCTAGATCTACAAGCCTCTATACTCAAAAGCCCAGCTCATAGGCCTCTGGAGTCCAGGCTGCCAAGAGTAAGGGAGCAGCAGCCAGCGCCTTGCCTGTTTATGATTTTCTCTGATAGAGCAAGAGGGCCCTCAGGCAGCTGCTTGTGACAAAAGGTCTTAATTCATACTGGTGTGTCAATGTTCAGTACAAGGTTACCTGACTGCAATGTATCAAATCAGAGTGCCTGGATTCCCTGTATATGAACATGGATGAGTCACTTTTTTTTTTTTTTCTTTCCCCTGATACAAGGTTTCTCTGTGTAACAACCCAAGCTGCCTTGGAACTATCTTTGTAGACCAGGCTGGGCTTGAACTCACAGAAATCCTCCTGCCTCTGTCTCCCAAGTGCTGGGATTAACTGGCATGTGCCACCACTGCCCGGCGAGTCACATTTTTTTTTTGTTTTTGTTTTTTCGAGACAGGGTTTCCCTGGGTAGTTTTGGTACCTGTCCTGGAACTCTCTCTGTAGACCAGGCTGGCCTCAAAAACACAGAGATCCGTCTGGCTCTGCCTCCCTCCCAAGTGCTGGGATTAAAGGCGTGCGCCACCACCGCCTGGCAAGTCACATTTTTAAAAGCCATATTTTTGAAGTGCTAGAGAGACAGTTCAGTGGGTAAGAGTGTTGGTTGCGTTAGCACGAGGACCTGAGCTCCGGTCCCAGCCCCCATGGGAAAGCTAGGTATGGCCGTGAGTACATGTGTGTGGTACCCTATGTCCAGACCCAGGAGCTGTTCCACCTGCTTGTCTTGAAGGAACAAGGCAGAGAGCGAGAGAGCGAGAGAGCGAGAGAGCGAGAGGGAGAGCGAGAGCGAGAGCGAGAGCGAGAGCGAGAGAGAGAGAGAGAGAGAGAGAGAGAGAGAGAGAGAGAGAGAGAGAAGGCAAGGCGTGTCCTCTTTTGGTCTCCGCACATTTATGTATATACACAAACCCACCCATGCATACACCACACACACCACCACCAA